AAGTTCCAACTAGCACAATTTGGTAAACATTTCTGTATAATACTGTTTTATATCTGTTGTTATAAAATATAAGACAGAGTTTTTCTCAGAACAGAAATGTCCTGATCTAACTCAATTCTGTGTGAATTTTAAAAAGCACCTGCAATAAAATTTCAAAAATCCTATCCATATATCTAACATTTCTGGTTTAGCTTATTTGGGGTACAGAGAACTAAACCACAGAAGACAAATAAATTTCCTCCTTGGAGATACTTTCTTCAGCATAATTGACCATACAAATAATGTCTTATAAATACACACTAAATTCTTAAATTTGAGATTGTATATGTACATAATTTTCTGAGATTTCATTGTGATTCTCATGTTCATAATTAAAACCCCTTTCTTGTAAAAAAAAGGCAATAATTTTGTTCTCAAGTATTAACTTAAACTATTATTGTTTCCAAATATATTTTTTATTTTATTCAACTTTTCTACCAATTCTTTAATTCTTCTATTTTTCATATGAAAGCTGATAAAATATTTAGAATAAGTATGAAATATTAAATTGTTCATCAAATGGTCTGCTAAAGGAGAAGATTGGCATAAATCAATATAATTTGATTTTTTAAGATAAAAATCAGGGCTGGAGATGTGGCTCAAGCATTAACGCACTCACTTGACATGCACGGGGTGCTGGGTTCAATCCTCAGCACCACATAAAATAAAATAAAGATGCTGTGTCCTCTGAAAACTGAAAAATAAATATTAAAAAAAAGATAAAAATCAATGAATGGAAAGTCATATTACTGAGAATGCTGAAGTAAGGGCACTGAACATTGTCTGGCCAATAGCAAAAATTTGTCAGAATTAACATATTCAGGACTCAGAAAATTAACACGGGCTTTAAGGAATCTAGGGAGTATTTAGTCAAAAAAATGGCTGAATTGCAGTAATWAGAGTAAACTTTGTAGCATCTGACTGAACCTAATCTCACCTTCCACTTACCAGCTCTGTTGGTATTCTTGAAAACCAGCAGCTTGTCAAAAATACTGAAAACCAGTCACTGAGGAAGCAGAGGAGGAGAAATGGTTGGCAGCTCCTTCAGAGCSCATCCATTACCTCAGAAGGGTGATCACTCCACTGGCAGGGCTTTCTCATCTGGCCTGACTCAGAACTCCCCCACTGAGAAGAGAGTTTTCCCTGGGAGGGGTGTTGAAACCACCAGACAGTTGCTGAACATCATGGCTATCTAAGGCAGTGGATAAAAATTGGGGGAAATAATTGACTATCCAGAAAAAAAAAATTGAAAGGAAAGCTAATTGGGTATTCATAGGGGTTTAAATAAAAAGCTCTGACACATGGCTGGGCCCTAATGCTGTGCGTATCTGTAGGTCAGGGTGTATGCATAGGAAAGACCTGAGAAAACCCTAAGCTTGCACCTGTAGCTCTGTGCAAACAGAAAGCAAAGCTAAGGCAGAGCTGTCAGATGCTGTGTTTCCCCAACACACACAGAGCCCCTCAGCAAAGACTGGGAGACTTCTTGATTCTAGGCATGTGAGGAAACGCTGTCCAATCACTAGCTGACCAATAAGCCACAGAGCAGAGACTTCAGTGGGCACACAAGACAGAAGACAGGCGTTACAGAATTCTCTCAGAAAAGTCACTGCTAAGCAAACTATAACCAACAACAGCAACAAACCCTGAGTAAGAAAGGGAATCTAAATTCCAGAATTGCTACATTACATTATCTAGGATTTCCAGTTGAAAAAAAAAAGGAGTCTTGCAAATAAATAAGTAGGGTCATACATATAGGAGCAGGGAAAAAGCAGTCAATAAAAATTATTCCTGGGGAAGCCTAGATATTAGACTCAATATATAAACACTTTTAGTCAACAAATATAAACATGTTCAAAGTATTAGTGGAAACAATATCTAAAGAATTAAAGGAAAAGATGAGTCTCATCAAATATAGAATATCAGAAAAGAAGTGTAAAACTTCATTACCTTGAATTGGGCAATACATTCTTTGATAAGACCCCCAAAGCACTTCCAATTAGATGGATAAATTAGACAGTTTAGGGCTTTCTGAGTCAAATGTCCTTGACTTTTCTCCATCTGTCTCAGAAAGTGAATTTTAAGCCTGAGCCAATGGGACAGTGTGCCATCAAGGGGAGTCAGGAGCACCCAGCAAGAATTGAGTCAGGAAGGGGATTGCCCAGAATCAATTATCTGATGCTTAATAATTTGAAAGATTTCTTCTCTATTTTATATAGTGATAGATAATTTGCTGCTGAGGTAAATACAAAATAAGGAAAAGAAAGGATTCTTGTGGAATTTGGGCTTCTTTCATTTATACATGAGGCTTCTGAGATACTCTGTACTCATCTGCTTGACAGAGAAAATKCGAGAATAAAGCTGGCGAGCGGAAGGTACATAGTGAGCCTCAGTCGGTCCACACTCCACTAGCTGGAATTCAGGCATAAGGCCCCACTCCTTTCCAGAAATGGATGGAATCTGTTAATTTGACTCCATGCTCAGGAAAAAAATGCTTATAGCATTGTCTGTCACGAAAGGGAAAGAGATAAAAGTCCTTCGAATAGCGGAGAGTTAAGAATTAACTCTAAAAAATTCTCCCCTATTTTATACCCTATGAGCAGCACTTACAAACCAGGGACCGATGTCAGCTTTAAAGAAGAACAAAATTATGGCATTTGCCAGTAAATACATGGAGTTGGAGAATGCTATGCTAAGCGAAATAAGGCAATCCCAAAATAACAAAGGCCACATGTTTTCTCTAATATGCGGATGCTAATTCACAATAAGGTCGGGGCACTAGAGAAGAATAGAGTTACTTTAGATTAGGTAGAGGGAAGTGAAGGGAGGGCGTGTGGGGACAGGAAGGACAGTAGAACAAACCAAACATTATTACTTTATGTACAYATGTGACTGCATGACCAATGTGATTCTGCAACATTGTACACTCAGAAAAATGAGAAATTATATCCCATCTACATATATCAAAGTGCATAAATGCATTCCACTGTCATGTATGACTAATTAAAACAAATAAAAAATTAAAAGAAGAGCAGACCAGCTGAACACAGGACACAGGACAAGAAGGCCTCTGTAAGCAGAGGAGAAGGCCTGGGGCAGATTCTTCCCTTGCTGCCCTTGGAAGGAAGCCTAAGCGCACCATGATCACYCCGCAACCTAATGCACACCCGGGGCCTTCTGTCCTCTCCCTTCGTGTTTTGCTGCTCAGCCTTGGACCTTCCTTTAAGCTTTCAGGAGCCAGGACTCCATGTAACCAGGCCCCCAGCCCTAAGGAGAGCAGGCAATGTGAGATGTGGGGAAACAGAGGAGGAGAAGGAAGAGGAAAGAGAGTCCATTCATCACCTGTGTCCTCCAACCCTCACAGAAAAGATTCCAGAAAACCCCTCCCCCACAGTTCCTGCCATCTTGTCATCAGACGTCCCTTCTCCCACCAATTAAAGAAAAGTCTTTTCCTATTTAACAAATGATTTCTATGAAATGAAAATAAAAGTCTTTCACTGGRGGAATAAAAAGTAATCATAACAAGAAAATGACAATACATAAAATGCCTTAACCTGGTGTTTAAGGAATTTCAAAAGTAACTTTGTTACACTCTTTTGAAACTAGCTTAAGCAAAATATTCCTACTACAATTAATAATTTCCATCTACTAGTCTTGGCTTGAACAGATACAGTTGTCAAGGTTTGTAGGTCTAATTTACAAAGTCTTCAGCGGTGAAAGTAAAAGTAAACAAACAACAACAAAAGCAGAATATTGCCTTAAAAAGAAAACAGAATATTGCCYCTTCCTTCCTTCCTTCCTTCCTTCCTTCCTTCCTTCCTTCCTTCCTTCCTTTCTTTCTTTCTTTCTTTCTTTCTTTCTTTCTTTCTTTCTTTCTCCAGAGCAAATATGGTTACAATAATGCCTTTGGACTTTAAACGTTGTGAATGAAAACTTTTCCAGGTTTGAGAACCGAAACTCTGCAAGGGAGAAATATCAGATTTTAGTACACAATAAATGAACCCTTTCTTGGGCCTCTTGCCAAACTGTAATTATCTATATAGTTCTTTCATCCGTAGCATGCCTGCCTGTATTATAAGGTATATCTGTTTTAGATTTTTAAATTTTTCATTAGTGCATTTTAATTATTCAGAATAAGGGCTTCATTGTGCATATGTGTACATGCAAATACACACTTTGATCATATCCACCGTATGTCGAAATTAAGGAGGTAAATTCAGTATCCTGGGGGGGTTTCAGGACATAGGACAGGGTTTTCCACTTCAACACACACACACACACACACACACACACACACACACACACACACACACGCACACACCTCTATTTTAAGGAGGAGGACTCCTGGCTGCTTTCAGAGAACGTCTTGTGACATCACAGAATGTCTTCTAGGGATTGTTTTCCTTGAAAACTTGAGAAGGGAAATCCCATGCCTCACATTCTGCTGGTCCCCGGTTTCACAAGCTTCTGCAAGTGAATCCGCGTGGAGCTGGATCCTGAACGGCTGGGGACTTGCCCTGCACTTGGATTGGTCAGAAGGAAGCCGAGGAGGAGCCAGGCTTCAGGTTTTTTTCCTCCGCACACCATAAAAGTCCGCGGCGGCGTCCTGGCTCCTCACTTCTCAGGCTCCAAGCCGCGTTGAGGCTGGGAGCGGTCCCTTCTCAGAGGCTGTGCAATGGCTCAGCCGCTCCCCGGAAAATCATTTTGAAAAGACGCGAATGCCTAAAGCTRAAGTTTAAGCAGCAGTGAGAACAAAAAGCAAACAGCAGACTCTGTCTTCGGAGAATGAGCATCTTGCAGCCTAAGATTCTAACCTGATAAGGGTCAGAGCTGTACCTGAAAGAGAGTAAAAACTCCATCTCCAGCTGCGGGGCTTGCGGCTGCATCCCCAGCGAGAGTGCCGATCTCAGCCTCCGAACTTTCAGACTGATCACGTCTGGGAGAAAAGAACGGAGAATCCTGACCCGGGAGGGGACGTCGACTCCGGGGGGATTTGAATCCATTTGGCGACCAGATGATGAACTCCACCCTCCCCCGTGGGATGCACACCTCTCTGCACTTCTGGAACCGCAGCAGCTACGGGCTGCACAGCAATGCCAGCGAGACCCTGGGGAAGGGCTACTCGGATGGGGGTTGCTACGAGCAACTTTTTGTCTCCCCGGAGGTGTTTGTGACTTTGGGTGTCATTAGCTTGCTGGAGAATATTCTAGTGATCGTGGCCATAGCCAAGAACAAGAATCTGCACTCACCCATGTACTTTTTCATCTGTAGCCTGGCTGTGGCCGATATGCTGGTGAGCGTTTCCAACGGATCAGAGACCATAGTCATCACCCTGTTAAACAGTACGGACACGGACGCGCAGAGTTTCACGGTGAATATTGATAATGTCATTGACTCGGTGATCTGTAGCTCTCTGCTTGCATCAATTTGCAGCCTGCTTTCCATTGCAGTGGACAGGTACTTTACCATCTTTTATGCTCTGCAGTACCATAACATCATGACCGTGAAGCGGGTCGGGATCACCATAAGCTGCATCTGGGCGGCCTGTACGGTGTCGGGGGTGCTGTTCATCATTTATTCTGACAGCAGCGCTGTCATCATCTGCCTCATCACCATGTTCTTCACCATGCTGGCTCTCATGGCCTCCCTCTATGTCCACATGTTCCTCATGGCCAGACTTCACATTAAGAGGATTGCTGTCCTCCCAGGGACGGGCGCCATCCGCCAAGGGGCCAACATGAAGGGGGCCATTACGCTGACCATTCTGATTGGGGTCTTTGTTGTCTGCTGGGCCCCGTTCTTCCTTCACTTAATTTTCTACATCTCGTGCCCCCAGAATCCATACTGTGTGTGCTTCATGTCTCACTTTAACTTGTATCTCATACTGATCATGTGCAACTCAATCATTGACCCCCTCATTTAYGCACTCCGGAGTCAAGAACTGAGGAAAACCTTCAAGGAGATCATCTGTTGCTGTCCCCTGGGGGGTCTCTGTGACTTGGCCAGCAGATACTAAATGGGGACAGAGGAGATCCTAAAATCCTGCTTAAAAAGACTTTTTCATTCTTGTGCCACCTGAGCAGTGTACTTAGGCAGCACCTGTTGTATCTTCTGTGCTGTGCTCCGATTGAGAAAACTTGTGGTAATTTAAGCTTATGATTTTTGATATGAAAAAATGTCCARTCTCAGTATTATTAGTCACATCATGCTACATTTTTTGGTTGTAAAATGCGAATCTGTATTATATATATTATAGGTAATGTGGATTTACAAAGAGTTAAGATGCCCTTATTAAAAGCCTAATATTGTCTCTTTCTTGTTATCAGAATTCAACACTTTGCTTGTTTTAGTAATACAGAAATCAGAGGTTCATTAAATATATTCTCATGGATGTTTTCATACAACTTTGAAATGTAGACGTTTGATTTAACATGTAAGGGGAAAACATTTCAAGAATGGAAGATTAATCATTAACTAAATCAGCACCATTAGTAAAATTTCAAATAACTTAAGAAAAGCTTGCCCATCCTCCCTAAGCAGAAGCAGAAATGAAGCTCCTCCTGAGAGAAAAACAGCTACTGAAAAAGAAAAGTGAGATTCTCAGTCAGAAAACTGTGTGTGTTTCTCAAGAACAGAAAATTCATTTGCCCAAGAAAACTGCCTGATATTGCAATAAGGCAATGCAGTTTGGAGAGGAAAAATAACAGCTATGGAGATTAAAGTGTTCTGGCAAATCTAAATTGTCAAGCTGAACTTCCTGATACCAAACTGTCCCCAACCATCAATAATAACACAGAATAAAGTCTTTCTGCCCCTTTAAACAGGGACCCGGTATCTGTTGAAACATCCAGGAGAAGTGACATTGCAGTCAGAGGTGCAGCATTTGATCTCAAAAGAACTCTATGATTGACAACAAGTTCCTTCACATTCCACATGGACATGACTTATTTTTTTGAACTAGAGTGTAAGGGCTGCTTGCTGATCAAGGATTTTAACTTTCCAAACAAAGTCCACAGTGCAAGTGTTTTTAGGCAATATTTGCAAATATCTAAAATGAAGGCACCTGTGATGCTGGTACATAGCCAACAGGAAGAAAGGCACCTATTGAGCCTCAGAGGAGGTCCTGAGATAAGCTAGCCTTCCCCGGCCACATTTGGAAGAGTGAATATTTGCTTTGCTCCAAAATAATCCCACAAATTTGGCCTCTGAGCAATAAAACCTGAGCTTTCTGGTCTGTATGTAMTTTAAATAAAAGATTATATTAGGTTGATTAGCAGCAAACTGTCCTGGTATTTTATAGCACCCTCAGATGCTCATGGGCAGAGCTCACATGGAAAGGCACACCTTCATTCAAATCTAAATGTTTTATATGTTGATCCTAAGACCTGAGAAACACTTCCGACATTCATGAGAAAATATTATCCCAAAGTAAAACCCAGAAGTCAAAGTCGACAAGTGGAAAGTGATACTGAAGCTGAATTTTAACCCCACTGAAAATCTTCTATTTTAAAGCAAAAACACATATGAAGTTTTAAACACAGACCAACATAATAAMAYCATTACCCTGGGTACATGTATGACTGCACATATGGTGTGACGCTGCATCTTGTACAACCATAGCAATGTAAAGTTATGCTGCAATTGTGTACAATGAATCAAAATGCATTCTGCTGTCATATATACCTAATTAAAATAAATAAATAAAATTTWAAAAAAWACTCCTACAGTTTGGATCTTAGAGGTCCAAAGGTCCATGTGATAGATGCTTGTCCCTACAGTGGCCCAATGGGGAGGTACTGGAGTCTTTAACAGGGAGGGCCTCGTGGGTAGTCCTTAGGTCATTGGGGGTGTGCCTTGTAGGGAATGCTGAGACCCTGACCCCTTCTTCTTTCTTTCTGYTGCTCCCTGGGTGAAGGTGAGCAGTTTGGCTCTGCCATGAGTTTCCACATGCTTCTGCTGTACTACCACAGGCCCACAGCCATGGTGCCAATCAATCATGGACTAAAATTTCTGAAACTATGAGCCAAAATAAACCTTTGTCTCTTTAAAAATTAATTATCTCAAGTATCTGTTCTAGAGACAGGAAGCTGGCTCACACATAGCCCATAGCAATCACAGTACACAGATGGTGTCTTTATTATCACTACTATTCCTGTTCCTTCTGTCACATAATGATTCTGAGAAATCCCAGGGGCTGGGACACTGGAAATAGAGCTATAAGCATGCCATTCTTCTGTAGTGGCTCTCCTTCCAGTGTAGTCACTCCTGGTTCCTTCTTCATATTCACACCTTCTAGAGCAGGGTATGGTGTTAGGGTGTGTATTGGCCATGGACCAGCTGCACACCACCAGCCTCCCCTAGATGTTCATGGCTTCAGTGTGTCTGTAAGTTCTGAGACTGTCCCTTACTCACTTGTCCTGTTCTCCAAACCTTCCCCTATAATGTTACTTCCTCTTACTTTAGTAAAGTCCAGATTCCTGCAGAAAGATGGTCTTTATCCAACCCCCTCTAAACTCTATCCCACATGCAGTGAAACTGGGAAGCCCACCAGCTCTGATTGGATTGCTGTTGGATTAATCAAGATGATGTTAGGGTTGAAACTCTAGGCTGAGGCAAATATATTTAGTATCAGGGGAGGTGGGAGGGGTGAGTGGGGCGAAATTGAAGGTTTGGGAGAAGGAAGCTTGAAGGGTACAAAGTGAAGACACCACAATTGATTATTCCAATTAGGAAAATTTACATATATTAGGAACAAAGACGTGTGCAACACAGAACTGAATGGGAACTTTCCCCATGGAGGAGAGGATTGAACTTCCATTTTCTCAGCCTACATCTAATGGAAACATGTCATTGGAATAAAACTCAGAATGTTATCCAACCATAATGTGCAGATTCCAAATTGGCTCCCAATCCCTGGTTAGTTCCATATCACAGTTTCAGTTTTCCTGATGTTTAATTTCTGTGCATTCTACATCCTTTGAGAATAAAGAGCCTCCAAGGCTGCCTTAGTTTCATGGCAGGTCACTGCCCTGTGACACAAGTTCTGTCCACTGGATGATTTACCAGGAAGCATAGAGGTAAAAAGTAGTAATTTTATTGTATCATACATTGATTCTTCCAGTTATGAAACTGGGAGTTAGAAATATTTATGGCTAGAGCACTGGCATGTCTAAAACTTACCACAAATGAGAACTACTTTTTCCTGTGGCTTGTCCATTAGGGATAAAACATACATGGATTACAGCAAGTGGAAATCAAGATACCATTTAGATCTATGATGTTACACAGCACCCTCCCATCCACCTAGCAAAGTACCTCTAAGAAAATGAGATGTWGGGCACAGTCTGTCCTCAGATCCAAGAGCATCCCTCTCCTATGATATCCATTGACATCAGCCAAAGGATAAAAGTGCTCAAACATCATGGCTGAGAAGAAAAGAGGAAGAAATGTATAGAAATAGGAAAAGGAGAGGGAGAATGCTTAATGGGCTCTGGATCAGCTTTCCACATCAGCTGATAGAAAAATAAATAAGCAAGCAAACAAAGCCATAAAATGTGCACYCATGAGCAGAGTCTTTAAATACACACATTAGTACAGCCCCTCTGGTGGCTCAGGAATTTCTACATGGGGAGGCTTAAGATGCTATGTGGTTAAAGGAGTTACAAATGACTGTCTTGAACACTTTTACATAGCAGTCACGTTTTACTTAGCTTGTATCTTCCTGAAATGGTATTGGAGAGAGATCTTGGTGTAACCCACAAACATGGTCATGATGGGAGTCCCAGAATCACACTCCATCAGAAAAGTGTTTCTTCTGTTTGGTGCAAAGATTGGAATGGAAGGAAGAGGGAGCATGGCAGTGAGTACTGTTGTCTCCTCTTTGTTATTTTTGGGATGTTTGTTTGTTGTCATTCCATTAACTGGGTGTTATCCTGACACTTTCAAACTTATAGGCTGCTTGGTCCTTTAGTTTTCTCTCACTAATCTAAAAACCATTATTATTATCAAGATAAGCATTTTCCATCAATGACTCTAAGCTGAATTCTTCTTTAATATTTCTTTTGTGTTTTCTTTCACTCAATTTGTTCTGTTGTGGTTTACCAATGGAAGAGAAGAATGAAAAAGAAATTCAGACATTTGTATCAGTTTGGTTCAACAGACCAATGATTCACTTCAAGTGGATGACAAGGTGAGCACATTCCTCTGCATTCAGTCTAGTCTGCCCACTCTGCACAATCTTACTAGAAAGAACACACTTCTAGTGAAAAATATAAGAAAGGTTATATATGCCGCAAAAATATTGCAGCATAGATACCAAGACCAAAGAGATACATCTTCATCATCTATTCATATTTATGACATCAGAAAAGAATTKAAGGAAAAAAAGAAAATTAGCCTAAATTAGTCAAGTTCTAAGTAAAGACAGATGTGTCCTTCAATTATTCCTAAAAACAGGAAATATTGCCTATAAAAAAGATTGCCAAGATTTTAATTATAGCACTGAATTGTCTTTGACATATGGTTGCTGTAAATTTTAGTCTATCAAATTTATAACATTTTTTAAAGCTAAATGGAAAATGTTCAAAGTTGTTGAGAAGGCAGTAAAAAATTGACTTATATCCTTTTATGTTTAAATGTAAATTGATATGATTTTTTRAAATTTTAATTTGTTATATATGACAGCAGAATGCATTACAATTCATATTACACATATAGAGCACAATTTTTCATATCCCTGGTTRTACACAAAGTAGAGTCACACAATTCATGTCATACATCTACTTAATGTTCATCTCATTCCACCATCTTTTCTACCCCCTGCCTCCCCCTTACTCTCCCACCTCTTTGYCCTGTCTAGAGTCCATTTAATCCTCCCATGCCCCCCCAACCCCATTATGAATCAGCCTCCTTATGATATGATTATTTTTAAGGATAGTATGTGATAGGTTTCACAAACAGTAAAAACATCCATCTTTTGATCATCTCATTACAATTCATTGCAGACATGGCAGTGTTAAGTTA